TGACGTTAACTATCGTATTCGTGATGGACAGGGAAAAACGCTAACCATACATGTAAACAATCTGAAGTTGAGCAATGTCGATAGATCTGTTCAGTCACCGATGATCCGAGGTCGGGGTAGACCTCGGAGCTAGAAGGTGACTTGAGGGGGAAGGTGTAGTGAATAGTTGTCGGCACCCACCACTTGGCGGCGCTAGCCTCGTGTCATCTGTGTGACCTTCAATACAGCAGTCGACCGCTACACTTCCTATTAGACAAACCGAGTCCGGCAGAATCAGACTGCGCTACCACCGTGTCACGATGTTCAGTGCAAAGTCGATGTCCGATGCCTGGTGTCCCTGGATTTCGCTTGGCCGTCAACGATAAAACGGTAAAGCACAATGGAACATGGATTGGGTGTGCAAATGTCAACAGGAAGGGCATTTGGGACAAATTTCCGGCATTTGGGGCAAATGCCCGTATACAGCGCCTGAAATCGACGATTTTTCTAGAATAGAAAGAAAACGAAAAAAAACTTCTATAAAAAAATGCTTTAGCTACACAGCTGTGCGTAAGGAATCCAAATCCCATTAGTTGGGCGTATGCCCTCCGCCGCGTCCGATACTTTCTGGATCCGCCTGTGGTTACCGTCTGTATTTATTGGTTTTCGCTCAATACTAGACATGAATTTGGTCGAAAACCCGACATGTTATGCGGATCTCTTTCAAATACACAAAATGTCAACGATTGTAATGCATGTTGCTGAAAGATTTCTCGTGTTACTACTTTTTGTTCAAAATATATATCCCAATGAAATCCGGTTGTCCTTTTGCTTAATCCCAGAAACTGATGGTTGAAATGCAATTTTCCTAACCGAAGCATGTCTTCTTTTAGAACTAAAGCTTTGCTATTTTTTAATAAATTGAGCCATAGATAACATGAATCATGTTATCTATGATTGAGCGATTAACTTGTTCGCACGATTCATTCATAAATACATCTCTGAATTACTCAATCCCAAGCATGAACAATGCTCAACGTTTTGAACCAGGCATAACACAGTTGCTGTGATAACCCAAGAACTTTTGTCATCAATTCACCTTTAAATGTGACATGAGTTTTCTTACAAAGGACACGGAAAACGTCTTCAAATATGTTTTATCAAAAACATGAAGCATAAATGTATACAAAAGATTTAAAAAATCGGAATTATAATGCACATAATCACATAATATGGAATATATAAAGCACTTGAAGTATGACATCATGCATTATTGGCTCATTTTTTGCAGCCAAATAATGAGCCGGAAGATGCGTAAAAATGAAGCACGCGTGAGTTTTATAACAATAACTAGAGGGACAGCATTACGCGCAGCGTAATAAATCAATTTTCATTAAAATCGGCCCAGTAGCGGCCGAGTTATTGCAAGAATAAATTTGGCGTCTCCTCCTGGCCGGCGGTGCCCTGTTCCGGTGTTCATTGCCAAAGGTCAGTGACCTGCCGGCTCTAATTTCGCTCAGTTTTGCAAGCGAAGAAACTAAGCCTAGGGCCCGTGCTCTCTGCTCGAAGCCGGCCGCGGCCCAAAATCACGCAAAGATGCGCCCGCCACGTGCAAACCGCCGAACCCAACCCCTCGAAAAGTTGATACGACAAACAGATGCACGCGTCCGACTTACGTCGAAAATGTCACCCCCGTAGCCCGCACCGTTCCGGAGCAATAGCCCGCCAAGCGTAACTGACGCGTCACATACATACATACATACATACATACATACATACATACATACATACATACATACATACATACATACATACATACATACATACATACATACATACATACATAAATACATACATACATACATACATACATAAATACATACATACGGACGTTTTGATTTTTATAAGAGGAACTAGAGGGACAGCATTACGCGCAGCGTAATAAATCAATTTTTATTAAAATCGGCCCAGTAGCGGCCGAGTTATGGCCATAATACATTTGGCGTCTCCTCCTGGCCGGCGGTGCTCTGTTCCGGTATTCATTGTCAAAGGTCAGTGACCTCCCGGCTCTGATTTTGCTCAGTTTTGAAAGCGAAGAAACTGAGCCTAAGGCGCGTGCCGTCTGCTCGGCGCCGGCCGCGGCCAAAATTCCGCAAAGATGCGCCCGCCACGTGCAAACCCGTGAGCGCACCCCCACCAAAATTTAATACGACAAATGGTTGCACGCGCCCGACCCGGCGCCAAAATTTCACCCCCGCAACCCCCACCGTTCCGGAGCAATAGCCCGCCAAGCGTGACTGACGCGTTACATACGATTACGGACATTTTGATTTTTATATATGTAAACTAGGTGTCCAGCATTACGCGCAGCGTAATAAATCAATTTTCATTAAAAGCGGCCCAGTAGCGGCCGAGTTATGGCCAGAATAAATTTGGCGACTCCTCCTGGCCGGCGCGGCGGTGCTCTGTTCCGGTATTCATTGCGAAAGGTCAGTGACCTCCCGGCTCTGATTTCGCTCAGATTTGCAAGCGAAGAAACTGAGCCTAAGGCGCGTGCCGTCTGATCGAAGCCGGCCGCGGCCAAAATTTCGCAAAGATGCGCCCGCCACGTGCAAACCGCCGAGCGCACCCCCACCAAAGTTAAATACGACAAACAGATGCACGCGTCCGACTTGTGTCGAAAATTTCACCCCCGTAGCTCGCACCGTTCCGGAGCAATAGCCCGCCAAGCGTGACTGACGCGTTACATACGGACGTTTTGATTTTTATATATGTAACTAGAGGGACAGCATTACGCGCAGCGTAATGAATCAAATTTCATTAAAATCGGCCCAGTAGCGGCCGAGATATTGCCAGAATAAATGTTGCGTCTCCTCTCGGCCGGTGGTGCTCTGTTCCGGTATTCATTGCCAAAGGTCAGTGACCTTCCGGCTCTGATTTTCCTCAGTTTTGCAAGCGAAGAAACTGAGCCTAAGGCGCGTGCTCTCTGCTCGAAGCCGGCCGCGGCCCAAAATGCTGCAAAGATGCGCCCGCCACGTGCACACCGCTGCACGCACCCCCTCGAAAAGTTGATACGACAAACAGATGCACGCGTCCGACTTGTGTCGAAAATTTCACCCCCGTAGCTCGCACCGTTCCGGAGCAATAGCCCGCCAAGCGTGACGGACGCGTCACATACATACATACATACATACATACATACATACGGACATTTAGATTTTATATATGTAACTAGAGGGACAGCATTACGCGCAGCGTAAATAAATCAATTTTGATTAAAGGTAGTGTGCCACCTTTGAATGATTTCCCATTTTATTTTTCCTAGGATAAGAAGCTTCTGGTTTCACCTAATATCGCAAAAAAATAAAAAATGGGCCTAAAATAGTGCTTTTTTCGCCTAAAAGTTTATCGGTTTTTCGATATGTATAACAACTGTAGTGGGCTGACCTGCAAACAGGCGTCGGCAGCAATCGCGAATGCGGCGCACATGTGACAATAAGCAAAGGTCATTATAGAGTTACGACGTACGGGAATGATTTATCAGCTGTCTAATCGTAGACAACACAATGTCGAATTTAAACTGTAAGCCTGTATTGGTACTGTTTCTTTAATTTGGCTGTCGAACATTAATTTATGGTTGGAAATATTATTTTATGTAAAATAATTGATATGAAACAGCCGTCTCTAAAGTTTGACCCCATCTCACCACATGAAAGTGGCAGAAATGACAATGATCAGCTGACGCATTTTTCTTGGCCGAAGTCAGAGCGCGCGGCCCGACGCACCACCACCGCGCCCAAAGCCAGGGCCCCGGTAACGTGAGGTAGCCGAGTCGGGGCAGCGTGCGCTGACCCAAGCCGGGGCCGCGGCTTTGGGCGCGGTCTACCGCATCCCCGCGGGCAGCCCCGGGCTATCACATGACACCGGGAGGACGCGCGGCCCCGGCTTGGGTCAGCGCACGCTGCCCCGACTCGGCTACCTCACGTTACCGGGGCCCTGGCTTTGGGCGCGGTCTACCGCACCACCTAACAGGCGTGTTCGAAACCGCAGGAGATGATGATGAACGGGTTTATCGAAACTTGATTGGATGAGCATATCGGTAATAGCGATTTCAGTGTGTGCATTTATTGTTCATAGTGGTGTGAAATGTGGTTGGGGTACGACCGACAACCCGTCGGGGCGAATTTCGCACTGGGGTACTCAAAATTTGAAGAATTTAAGACGTTTCCATGAGCTTTGAAGGTATGGATAAGTTCTAAAAATCCGGTTCTCCTTATCTGGGCCATTAACTCCATACGGTCCAGGAAAGCTGGCACACTACCTCTAAAATCGGCCCAGTAGCGGCCGAGTTATGGCCAGAATAAATTTGGCGTCTCCTCCTGGCCGGCGGTGCTCTGTTCCTGTATTCATTGCCAAAGGTCAACGACCTGCCGGCGCTGATTTCGGTCAGTTTTGCAAGCGAAGAAACTGAGCCTAAGGTGCGTGCTCTCTGCTCGAAGCCGGCCGCGGCCCAAAATCCCGCAAAGATGCGCCCGCCACGTGCACACCACTGCACGCACCCCCTCCAAAATTTAATACAACAAACAGATGCACGCGTCCGACTTTAGTCAAAAATTTCACCCCCGTAGCCCGCACCGTTCCGGAGCAATAGCCCGCCAAGCGTGACGGACGCGTCACATACATACATACGGACATTTTGATTTTTATATATGTAAACAAGCGGCAAGCCGCTTGCTTCGCGTCGCGAGGATATGGCTTGCGCATAATTGGCCAGTTCGAGTAGTAATGGTTTTGTGTAATAGTGACTTGTAGAAGCTTTGATGTACGCGAAAAGGTGAATGATGCGGTCCAAATGGATAAAATTCAAATAAATGGGTCATTGACCAAACCAATTCAGACTGATAAGCTACCTACTTGGATATGTGGTTCAAATAATTTACTACATATAGGTTATGTTTATAATAACGTTTCAGGCATAATCACGTTTCAGGCACAGGTACTAAGTTGTGAGTGAATCGCAATTAGCAAATCCAGCTGGATTTGCTAATTGCGGCAACATAGAGCTGTCCGTGGCCGAACACGGGCTCTCGCAGAAGGACGGCCACTCGCCGGAGCGTCTGACCTTGCGCTTTGTTGATTGTGAGCGCAAAGGCGGGCCGCACCGGGAACTGGCGCCGCCACCACTCGAACGGGAAGGCGTCGTCCGGCGACTGCAGCGTCAGGCGGGGGATGAGAACCCGGCGGCCGGCCGCGCTGCCGCAGGCCACGGTCGCCTCCAGGAGCCGGCCGCCGTGGACGGCCACCACCAGGAGCCGGGTGCCGTTACACAGTCCCCTGGCCGGGTCGATGTTTCGGAGCAGGATGACCGGCATGCCGGGCTTCAAAAGCAGGTGATGAGGCGGGAGGCCCGGCACACACAGCCCGTTGAGGTACTCCTGGGGTACCGGCTCCTGCTCCTCCCCGACGGTGTCGTCTGCGCTGAGGCACTCCACGGCCTGGCCCGGGAAGATGTCGGTGACATAACTGTTCACCGAGTCGACGGTGCTGTTAGTGGGCGCCAGCACGGCGCGGGACGCCATGCTGTCGGCGTCGGTCAGGTTGCCGAAGGTCCAGTCGATGACGGCCGGCAACTCGGCTTCCAGCACCAGCGCCGGCGGCAGGGTGACCCGTCCCTCGGCGTCTGTGGGCAGCTCGCCGTTGCCGAGCTGCAGCAGCCAGGTGGAGAACTCCTCCAGCTCGGCCTGTTGGTTCTCCTCCTGCGCCAGCCTGGCGCGCATGTTTTCCCGCAGCCGGTGTACTCTGAAGTGGCGCCACAGCGGCGAGCGACGGAGACTGGCGTCCACGATGCCTGCCTGGTTGGCGTGCCGGACGACAGGCAGAACCTGCCGGAAGTCGCCGCCCAGCACCACCACCTTGCCGCCGAACAGCTGCTCGGACCCCGTCAGGTCGCGCAGCGTCCGGTCGAGGCCCTCGATGTGGTGCCGGTGCGCCATCGGAGCCTCATCCAGGCCCATGTCGTCCCCTATCTCCGCGTGTGTCCACTAACACGAATGACGTCACGCATGTGGGCGGAGCTATGGGCGGAGCCTAACGCACGCGGCAGTCCAAGCCGCCATATTTGAATTTATATTTGAATAGAATCTTGCCGATATTTTGGGTGAAGTCAATTTATATGGATAGATTGGTGACAGTTTAGCTATACGAATAATAATTTATTATGGATGTGCGTATATTCAGCTTGGAATTGCAATTAAAGTTCCGCACCGCATAGATTCGAACTCGGGACCTTTGGAATACTGCGCGGGCACGCTAACCACTACACTACCGCGACCGCGCGGCGGCCGGCGGCAGGGAGGCTGCGGAGACATGGGGGGACATTTTACGCTTTTGTGAAAAAAGCAAAAGATTTAGCGAAAAACACGTAATAGATAGCTTTCAGAAAATTGTCTGCTCTTTCAGATAAGATACTTAGGTTTGATATATCTTGTGCAGACTTCATTCTACAGTGCTTCGAAAATCGCTCATTTACATGGGGATTGAACGGGGCTTCGAGACTTGACTCCAAATGACGTCACGGATTGACGTCACGAAAAGGTAGAATCGCCGGACGACCCTACCTGGTATATAGGGCCTTGGCCTCATCCATCACGATGAGGCGCGCTAACCGGATCAGCTGGGCGAGCTCGCTCTGGGCGGGGATGTTAAAGATGGCGGTGTCGTCCGGTCGCAGAGGAGCTTTAAAACGGCTGTGAAAAGTCCTCCCGCTGTCCAGCAGTGTAGCGGCGATACCGCTGAACGCCACGGCAAGTGCCACCAGGCCCTTGGCTCGCACCGCAGAGATGAGCAGATTAAAAGTAAATGTCTTGCCAGTGCCACCTGGCGCGTCCAAGAATAGGGCGAGCGGCTCCTGGCCGTCGACCGCGGCCAGCACCGTGTCCACCGCCTGGCGCTGATCCGGCAGTAGGCCTGGCAGCCGCTGGTCGACGGTGTGCTGAAGGTCAGCTCGGTCGAAGTCGACCTCCTCCCGTATAATGGGAGGCAGGCGCCGCAGCTCCTCGGCCCCCTCCAAGGCGGCGGCCGCTGCTTGGTGTTCAGCTGGCACGGGCGGCAGGCCGAAGTCCTCCAGCGTCTTGCCGGCCCGCTGGAGGGAGTCGCTGATGCGCAGTAGCACCAGTCCCGTCACCGTCTCCGGCGGCAGCTCTGGGTGGCGGCGGGCGAAGTCTTCTCCCATTGCTGCCTGGAACCGGTGGAGGAGGGCTGCGGGATCGGCCGGCGCGCAAAATAGCAGCAGCACCACAAACAGCTGCCTGAGCTGGCCGGGGCGCTGGGTGCGGACGGCCCCTACCAGCGTCTCCGCCCACTCCTGGTCGTCCTGGAGCAGGCCACGCCGCCGACACGCCTCTTGGTGTGTGTCGCACACCTGGCCGTCCACCGTGCGCAGATCGGCGAATGTCGTGGCGCCGGGGACGTGATGCAGCAATACCCGGAGGTAGAATACATCCCCGTGCCTGGGTGTGAGACTCACCACCCGGCCGATGGTGGGCGCCGCCTGCATGTTGCGGCGCCGGTGCCACCGCTTCTGGCCGGCGTCCCAGCGTTACTTCTGGGGGAAGTCCGGGTAGAGCACCCGGAGGCACTCGGGGTCCTCGCCGGCCGACGCCCGGTTGTAGGTCATCCAGGCAGTCAGCTGCGTGTGGCGCGGCTCCCCAGCCACTGCCTGCCGCTCCTCCCCAGGCTGGAAGAAGATCAGCTGATGGTCTTCGAGATGAACATGTAGCGCCAGCACCGCTGGTGACCGGTCGCTCATCTCGAAGCTGAACAGCCGCCAGCATGCTTCGCTCGCACCAATGGAGCGGAGGTCTCGGAAGGCTGCCACCTCGTCCTGACCGGCCTCGATCAGCTGATCTGCGCGGACCATCTGCCGGTCGGAGCCCTTGTAAATGTACATAAAAATGTACTTAACTCCGTCCACAGAGGAGCACACCTCCACGTTGATGTGACACTCGTAGCGAAGGCTGAGGAGCGGATTGTAGGGCACGACCCACTGGTTCGTCACCATCCTCCCATTGTGCTCCGCCTGCTGGCCGCCGTCCTCGGGTCCGCGCCTCCGGTACTGGGGGTACGTGCGGTCCTCCTGCCAGATGGTCTCGTGGGAGAGCGGTTTCGGGAACCGTTTGGAGCACTGACCGTCTTTCATGCAGGTGGCGGTCGGCCGAGCAGCGCCGCACTCGTTGTGAACCATGCTGGTGAGGACAATCTGCTGCAGACGGGCCGACTGCGGCGATTCGGTGGGGTCCGGCAGCTCCGCCGAGACGATCGTGTCCGCATCGGCGCCGGTCCGAGGCCGGTCCTCCGGCTGCAGGATGAGCAGGAGATGACAGTGAGGCAGGCCTGCAAACAAAAAGAAAATGTCAGACTCACGATTTTGATGCGTTCTAGTGTGACCTGGAATCGCTTGACTGATATTTAAAGATGCGTAGCTTCGGTACGTTAGTATGGTAGAGGGTACGCAAACTGACACGCAGCGGTATTTTGTCGTTTTTAATACACTGCCACGGACTTTATGTTACAAAATGGGTGCCCTCAGATTTAACTTTTAAGTGAATTATATGGCAACGCCAGCGCCTATACTGGCCGGAATGCGACTGGTTGTCGCAGATGATTTGCGTTAATACGACAGAAGCTAGGCAACCCGCCATGGAGCCGTATGTTGCTGGATAGTCTAACAATAAGTAAATTTATATTCGCCCTCAGAAGCTAAAGCAACGCGAAGCATTTCAGACTGGTATAGCTCAACCGATTGTCGCAGATGATTTGCGTTAATACGACAGAAGCTATAGGCAACCCGCCATGCAGCCGTGTCTTGCGGGACAGTCTAACAATAAGTGAATTATATGTAAACGCCAGCGCCTGTACTGGCCGGAATAGCTCGACTGGTTGTCGCAGATGATTTGCGTTAATACGACAGAAGCTAGGCAACCCGCCATGCAGCCGTGTATTGCGGGATAGTCTAACAATAAGTGAATTTATATTCGCCCTCAGAAGCTAAAGCGACGCGAAACATTTCTGACTGGTATAGCTCAACCGATTGTCGCAGATGATTTGCGTTAATACGACAGAAGCTAGGCAACCCGCCATGCAGCCGTGTATTGCGGGATAGTCTAACAATAAGTGAATTTATATTCGCCGTCAAAAGGTAAAACAACGCGAAGCAGTATGAACTTTACACGACGAAATCTTTCTCACGTTGACTTCTTCGATCATATTTATTTGGCCGTTAAGGCGTGAGCTTTAAATCGGAATAAATGTACATATTGGTGGGGTGCGTGTCACGTCCCCCCGCGACTGAGCTCATGTCTGTACAGGTATTTCTGTCAAAGCCATGTTGTGACTTACCGCGCTTCTGAAACTCGATGACCCACATGAAGGCGCTCGGCTTGCCGAAGACGGCCTGCTTGGTCAGGTCCCCGATGATGCGGCGGAGCTTGAGGTGGAACACTCGCGCCACCAAGTCGGGTCGATCCTCGGGCTTCTGTCCGGGCAACAGGGCGTTTGCGATCTCCGGCCACTTCGGATTACACGTGATGGTAATGAAGAGGGTCGGCTTCCCCTTGGCCCTCACGATGGCCATGGCGTCCATGTAACTGCAAAGTTGAGGAAAAATGTAGATAATATTAGATGGTTGTTTGAAGGTAACATTTACCGTAGAACCAAAAGCATGACTATGGGCAGAAAATAGTCCAAACACAAAGCTGTTGACGTTTGTTTGAAAGTGACATTTGTCGTAGAACCAAAAAATATGACCACCTGGCACCTGTAGGCAGATTATAGTCCAAACAAAAATGAATTGGCGAATACTAACTTATTCGTTAAATGTGAGCACAGGTGTTTGTTCGTTTTTTAACGTTGCTATGCTGACTTGAGTGCATTATGATGCATTCAAGCAAATTTAATATGAGTGGTAATAGTGCAAATAAGACTTCAGCGAATACAAAATAGTGGTTAGTAATTTAAGATTGGTGTTTGTTTGCGTAGCTCACCGTTGCCTCATATGGCGGGGTCCACCGATGAAAGTAGCCGGCAGAACGACTCGTCTCCCGACGACCGGTACACCAGCCTGCTCACGTCCCTCCTCGGGCTGCTCCTGCTGGCCGAGCTCCGCGTCAGCCGCCACGGCGTCACGGACGCTCTGGTAGAGGTCCGCCCGGATCTCGCGCTGGTGGGTGGAGATGTACTTCAGCCGGATGGCCTCGACCTTGGCGTAGGCCATACAGACAAACTCTTGAAACAGGCGACCGGCGCGGTGAAGGCTGTCGTCCTGGTGGGGCCTGATCTGGAGCCGGTACGCGTAAAACTGGAGCGTTGTCACCATTCGCTGCCGCTCCCTGCCGGGCTGCGGCGCCTGAGCAATCGCCGGGTGCCACCCTGTAGTCCCCAGAGGAAACAGGAGGACGAAATGGAGTGGGTCACACGCTCGGTGGCTCTCATCGATGGTCTGCAGCACGCCGGTCCCGCCATCAGCTCGGCGGCGCAGTACCAGGTCGTGCTGTCCGGGCTCCTCTCCCATGAGGACCGCCACCTCGCGCAGTCCCTCGGCGGCGTTGTAGCGGCGCGCGTGCTCGCCGGCGGGTCGGGCTGCAACGCTGATGATCAGCTGCCGGTGTTCCACCTCCTGTGCCAGGACCTCGGCAGCCATGATGAAATCGTGCACCCAGGGGTTGACATGGCGCAGCATGGCCTGAAGCTGTCCCAGCAGGTCCAGCAGCCGGTGCTGCACGGCGGCAGAGGTCGCTGCCGGCAGGCGCACATGACCGAGTCGAATGGCCGCTTCAGCCTCCGGATCTTCGGCCAGCGGGTCGCTTATGTATATCTGGGCGAAGGAGGGTGGCCGGTCTTCAGGGACTTCCAGCGGCCCAAGTCGGTGGTACAGCCGCCCGTGCACCACCACACACGGTGCGTACCCGCCGGTGCCTGCAGGCGGCGGCACCTCACGCACGGACAAAGACGATAGGGCCAGCGCTGAGTTGAGGTGCCGGACGTACTGCCGGAAGGTGCGCGCCTCTAAGGTGTCATCAGTCCAAAGGCGGCGTAAGACTGGCGGCGGGGCCGGGAGCGGGTCAAGGCGGACCTTGCCGCCTGCACAGCAGAACGTGGCGCGCTCACCCGCCCACCGCAGGGCTCCGCACGACGCACACACTTTCACCATCGCACCGACATCATCTGCCTCCACCACCTGCTCGCCGGACAAAACGTCCGCCGGTCGGCGGGCCGCAAGCGAGGCTGGCCTCGCACGGGCGGCAGCGCGCTGCTGCTGATGGCGCCGGGCGTCTTCAGCACGCTGAGCGTGCCTGGCGTCCTCGTCCTGTTCCTCGCGATGTTGACGGACGCGCGCCGCGGTGGCCTCACGCTCGGCCTGCGTCGCTTCCTCCTCATGCGCCTCGCGCTGCAGGCGGAGGCGCTCAGCGTTGGCCTCCAACTCCGCCCGCCTGGCCTCTTCATCTTGCGCCGCTCGCTGCTGGCGGAGGCGCTCAGCGTTGGCCTCCAACTCCGCCCGCCTGGCCTCCTCCTCCTGTGCGGCTCGGAACGCGCGCTGCCTCTCGGCGTTGAGCTGTCGCACCCGGTCGTCGTCCGCGCGCTCCCGCTGGCGAGCGGCCTCGGCCTCCCTCACCGCCTCCCTCTGCCGGCGCGCTCGCTGCTGGGCCGCGTTCTGTTCGGCCTCAGCTTGTCGCTCCGCCTCGGCCATACGGGCCCGACGACGGCGCTGGGCCGCTGCGTTAGCGGACACCGCCCGACGCATGACAATCACGTAATCGGGTACATTTACGGAATATGCAACAAAAACGAACTACTTACAACACTTGAAAACAAAACACTTATTACTCTTTGGATAAATATCCTGGTCTAATCTATCGACTAAAATACGCCAACGTTGTTTACATTCATATTTGCCGCGCTACCAAGACAATCAAGAGCTTTTTTCTCATTCCGACCCCCAACAGACACGATATGGTCTGAGCACAGAATCTGGTAGCATCACGTGACTTGATTAGGACAGTTTATTGATATTTTATTGTGAAATTACCCAAATACTGCTTGAGTTAACACTCAAAATACACTTTGAACTTTTAATAATTTTGATTGGGTGAAAACATTGCAAAACACAAAATTCATCAGAATAGTCATGTGAGTGTTGAGAAATGTCACATGCGCGTCAGATCTGTAATTTGGGCTTATCTCGAAGATCCGATCTACCTGTTTCTTAAAGGAAAAGGGCCACCTTCGTGAAATATGAAGATATCGTTGTTTTTCATTTTGACATTATCATTTTTCATTTTCTTTTTAAAACTGGTGCCAGAAGTGCACAATTCGCTAAAAAGTATTTAAAACTATTTAAATATTGGTACTATGTTGATACTCTCTACGGCACCTACTGTATGATGGCATAGCGATGACGTCATACTCAAGCCAATCAGCGTTCAGAAGACAGACTCGTCGGATTGTGTCAGATAAGCTGATTGGTTAAAGCTGAGCTGGTTGGAGCTGATTGGTAAAAAACTAAAGCCTCGCCGCGGGTGGCTGTATTGTCGGATAAGAACGCATTCCTGGGATAAGGACGCATTCCTGGCGTATTTTCTTTTAAAATTGCCGATAACTACGAATGGAGGCCGAAATCGGCCGTAAGGAGGTAGATAGACTGGTTTTCGGACACGGGCTACAAGATGGCTATCTCAGTTTCAATCTCCATGTTAAAGGTGGCCCTTTTCCTTTAAAGGCATTTTATTTCATGACGGGAAGAAATATCATTTTCGCAGCGAACAATCTGAGCCTAGGGCACGTGCTCTCTGATCGGCGACGGCCGCGGCCCAAAATCCCGCAAAGATGCGGCCGCCACGTGCAAACCGCCGAGCGCACCCCCACCAAAATTTAATACGACAAACAGATGCACGCGTCCGACTCGGCGCGAAAATTTCACCTCCGTAGCCCGCACCGTTCCGGAGCAATAGCCCGCCAAGCGTGACTGACGCGTTACATACATACATACGTACAGACATTTTGATTTTTATATATGTAAATGAGAAAAGCAGCCGGCTGCTTTATTCGGCTCGATTTTTATTTGCAGCGTGTCTCGATTTTATTTTATAATAATGGCCTCTGGTATGCAGATTCACAAGTTCTCTCAACATCTTCAACTACGAACAATCAAGAGCACTTTGTGATCTTATTGACTCCGCAGATCCATCTTCTGTTTTCCATTTCCAGTTTTCATTTGAAATATGAGTTCCATCTTGGAGACGCATGTTGCATCATTATGTTTAAACAATTATTATGCTTCAACTATTGGTTTTCATGTGAACTTTACTTCAAAAGTTGATTTAATAATTTGCATAATGCTACGATCACGGCGCACCAATTCACAGTTAACTTGATAATAACCAAGCAAAAGCCACATTCTTCAGCAAACTATGCGAGCTATCTGATCCATGTTGCGTTGAAATAATTAAAAATCGCCAATAGCAGTCAAAATATGACAGTTAAATTAGTATACACTTAATAAAACTCTGATTTGTGAGGCAGTGTGCAACAGAAATGCGAGGGAATATGGTAGTAATCTGGTATCAATTATGAAGGATTTCCTCTGTCGCTGATAAGAAAACACTTGAAACAAATTGTTTAACGCAGAGGAAATCCTTCATTATGAGTTGCAGGGACCATTTGATTGACCCATTTTAGATAAGTATAGGCCGAATGTTTCGATTTCAACCCCATTTATCGTAATGAGACGAATCCATTGGCTTAGTGGTATGTCTTTTGAACACATATAGGCCTTGGATTTCTCCTTAGCCCGCCTGAAACACACCATGATTTGCATGCATTGCTATGGGTGAAGGAAAATTCTTACGCCGTGATGACGTCACGGTGCAGGAATTCTGAAGCTCGTAAACGGGGGCTGAGGCCTACCGGTCCTCGGTACTTTCAATTAAAAATATCGGTGACGACACTAGAGGTCTGCAGCCGCGGCTGGCTGCAGCCCCACGGCTGTGGGCCGGGGCGGCTGCAAATATCTCGAAGAACACGGCTACGGCTGTGGCCACGGCTGTGAGATTTCAAGCTCAATCTTAAGTACTCAAATATAAAATTTTAAATCCTTTATCTTACATTCTGATAAGCAGTCTAGCCTGTAAAAAATCATGCAAAGGATGCCCAGCAACATTGAAAGTGATGAAGCCTTTGAAAACCTGTTATGGTTTTATCATTTGCCGTACGGGAGTTTGCACTCTGGTACATAATACTAATGATAGGTACCAATTGTTCCTTCTCATCATGAGCTTGACAGCTTCAGAAAATGCACCATGTCAAATAATGTTGCATTGTCACATCCCTTTCAAATTAATATCACCTGGTCATTAGGAGAGCACTTTACAGCTATTGAAGACAAGCGTTCAATAATTCTTTCAGGTGATAAAAAGAAATAACGCCTAGGTAAAGGCAGGTGAAAGCTTCATAAACTATTATCTAAAATGTAGGAATTACATAATATAAAACTGGTGGTTTTATGTTCTAACTGGTATGTGAGTGAACGATAGCAGAAAATGTTGATCAACAAAGCCAATGGAATTAGATTATGAGGGAGCACAAACCCTACTTACGGCTAATTCACATGACGTTGAAATCCCTGAACACAGTATTTCTTACGCAAGCTGTTGATTTTACTAATAAAATGACGTCTTTGTCTTTAAATGTCAAAATTTAATACTTAACCTTTGTTTGAGAGCAAATTTTCAGTGGTATAAACTCATTATTGGATAATCGTAATTTTATGGCTGTTTTGTTGAGACACAAAAAAATAATTGCTGCATCTTTGCTATTGACGTCATTAAAAACTCAAATAAAATGTTAGATTGAAAGAGGCAATTGTGATTTGTGGCTCGCACATTCTTGGTGATTTGAGCGCAGATTGAAGAAAAATGAAAATCAAATTGGAAAAATGAAAATAGGTGAATATTTTTCTTTCTTGGATGCTCACTAGTGTTTTGATGCCTTGCATATCAAATTAGTTTAAGACTTGTTCAGAAGGCTGCTTCAAGCCTGGCATATCATACCCCAGAAAATATGCAAGGTAAGAAAGAAGCGGACAATCACTGTTTGACAGTTCATGAACTTCAGTTTCATTTTCCATAACATTGATAATGAAAAGTATCAGGGTCTGTAGTTCTGTCCCACAACCATGCTTCAGGATTTGGCATTAGATGTCTACACTGCTTCTATTATGGTTCGTTGTTTATGTTTTCTGATGATGTAGATAGGTACCTATCTCACCATGATGATCATGATCTACCCATCTTTCTTAACCCGCGCGGGGCTGGGGTATCCAGCCGAACGCGCGGGGCTGGGGGGGGTAAATTTTACCCCCCCCCCTGTTATCTCCCGAACTAATGGTCCGATTTGGAAAATTCAAACGCCAATCGAAAGATCTCATCACGAACAACTAAAAACATGTACTTAATTTTAAGTTTGAGGTCAAGGTCAAGGTCAGGTCAAGGGTACAAATTGCAAGTTCCTACAGTATCGGCCTTGCACCGTAGTTGCCGAAGAATGGAGTCATGGACTGAGACTGATCGCCCAAAACGTGTTCTTAGGCTACCAAGACAATATTCGTTGCATACAATATCATTCAGAGGTCAAGGTCAAGGTCAGGTCAGGTCAGGTCACCAAAAACAAAATATAGAAAAGGGCATGTGCGACACATGTTTTATGGGTCATTTTACTCATAGAATTCAATAGGCACACTCAATAAGTGATATGGACCACCTCTGGATGAATTTCAGGTCAAGATCAGGTCAAGGTCAGGTCAAGTGAGGTCAAATTTTGAAGTTGGTTGTTAAGGCTTGAAAAGGTGTCTATCTGATGCATTTTTTCACGGCGAATCGAATGGTGCTATTTTTGTTTCCGTACGAGGTCTAGAACTTCCAAAAAAGTCATTTTTCAAAATTTTTGTGTGTCGTGACGTCATACAATTTTGAATAACTCCCACATTTTTGAACCGATTCTTCTAAAACTTGGTATGTAGGTGCACATAGACCAGTTCTCTGACATATATTCCGGTTTTTTCGATACACTCAAAATTTTGGATTTTATAGCTATTTTCCCAAAAAAGTCAGTTTTTTGAAGAAAAAATATTGGGCCAAAATCCAAAATTTTCAAAAAACCGAGATAGCCATTTGATAGTGGACAGACGCGGCGCAGTGGAGGTAGTTTTTGGTTATTCGAAGTGAGACCTGCACGAGAAAAATATTAAGTGAAAATTTCGGAAACAGTAAAAAGGAGAGAGGAGTTGGATTTTTTCGGTGATATTGAGAACGGAATGTAACTGCTTGATTTGTTTCAGCCCGCCTGCCAATACTATCTTTATTTTTTGCCATGTGTTTGATTTGAAAGACGCCGGACTGAACATAAAGTGGTCCTCCGGGCCGGATCAATAAAGTAAAGTAAAACAATGGCAACTAAAGTAAAGCGACAACTCAAAGCTAAGGCCTGCAAACTAAGCAGATCGCTAACTAGGTTAGAGACACTGAACGCCCGAAACGAAGATGAAGACGGTCTGCGCGATGCACTGGCAGTCGTCTTGGAGCAGTCGAAGTCGATGGACGATTTGCAGGAAGAGCTGTCCGGTCTGATCCCGGAAGAAGACATAGAGACGGAATTAGATACATGGAATGAGTTAGAAGAGCGGAAAGTGCAGCTGACATGTGAGACGAGAAAGATGATAAAAAGGAACAGCAGTCAAACTACCGTCGTTGACGCTACCAAGACCGCCCATCTTGAGCCCATAAAAATACCGAAGTTCTCTGGACAGGCGGCTCAGTATGAACAGTTCAGGGCGGCATTTAAGGTGTTTGTCGACGAAAACGGTCACATTTCCATGATGGAGAAAATGATCCGTTTGAAGGGATACCTCGAGGGAGAGGCACTTCAAGCCATTGAAGGTCTTACCTTTTCAGAGAGCGACTATCGTGCTGCTCTGAAGATTTTGGACAAAAGGTTCGGCGGGCAGAATCGACAGCTGAATGAGCGTCTGCAAACACTGCGTTGTCAGGAGTCCATCATCCCAGGAGACTGCAATGCTCTGCGGAGATTCGCCGATCTGCTGACTGCAACAGTTTTGAGCCTGAAGAACATGGGCGATGAACATGACATTTTCTCTGAAACACTCTTCGAGAATGTGTTCAGAAAGCTGCCCGAAAATGACAGAGAAAGTTTCATCAGTGAGTCAATCAAGAGCGGAAGCGAAATGGACCTGGTTAGACTCGAACCATGGCTCCAGGCGAGATCTGAGATAGCGAGACTGAACGCCGATTTTTGTGTTATGTACGAGCCCGCCAAGCTTTGAAGTACCCACCGGCGCGTCCGAGTCCAGAAAAGCAAGCGGATCAGGCGGGCACAGAGCCAGCAAGAAGCCGGTTACCAGCCTCAGGAGAAACACGGAAGGAAAATGCGAGCTCTGCTCGCAGGCGGATCATGTGCTCGACAGGTGCTCTCGGTTCAAAGGCATGTCTATCGATGAACGCTGGGAGGTGGTTAAGAAACAGCGCCGCTGTTTTGGCTGCCTCGACAAAAACCATCACACTGTTGAGTGTAACAAAGCCACACGTTGTCAGTGTGGTCGGTTCCACCACCGCCTGCTCTGCGCTCGGTCAGACACTGCAGCTGCAGGGAGACAGGGAGCGGAGGAACCAACAAGAGTGACGACATCAGGATCAGCTGCTAACAGCTTCAGAGTGGCTCTGAGAACACTGCCAGTCATCATCAGTCACGGTGGTCGGCAGATGCATGTGACTGCTTTTCTAGATGGAGGTTCAGATACAAATTATCTGAAACAAGACTTGGCTGAAGCCCTGGGGGTCACATCCGATCCCGAGCCTCTGCAAATAGCGACGCTGGGGGGTCATGTTCAGTCACTGAAAACGAAGCACGCCGACATCATGGTCAAGGACACAGGAGAAGGTCCGCTGCACAGGCTGCATGTGTGCACGCTGCCAGAAGTATGCAAACAGCTCGAAGTTGTCAACTGGACAGCAGAGAAAGAGCAGTGGGACCACTTGCGGGACATACCCTTCGAAGAAACTGGCACTGAAGCTGATCTGCTGATTGGAAGTGACCATCCGCAACTCCATGCAGTCCTTGAGAGTAGAAGTGGAGACGAGGGTTGCCCTATGGCAGAGCGAACGCCTCTGGGATGGACCTGTGTCGGCCCCATGCGAGAAAAAGGTCAAGTATCCAGTCAGATACGGACAGGAGCTCACGCCGTCACAGTATCTGAGGAGGCTGGACTGGACAGAATTCTTCGACAGTTCTGGGAGATAGACAGTTTTCAGCCAATGTCAGATCGCAAGAGCCCTCTCACAACTGACGAAAAAAGTGCGGTGGCGCACGCCGAAGAAACGATGGAGATGCAAGACGGACGGTACGAAGTTGGCGTGCCCTGGAAAGGTCACACACCTGCTCTCAATCAGAGAAGTAACAACAAGAGCGTGGCGCTGGCGAGGCTGCGAAGTTTGGAGGCCAGTCTGCTGAAGAAGCCAGACTTGAAGGACAAGTATGAGGAAGTGATCGCATCGAATCTAGAAAAGGGATACGTCCGCAAGCTGGAGGAATCTGACGTTGCCATACAAAACGAGGCCTGCTGGTACCTGCCGCATTTCCCAGTCGTAAGAGAAGACAAGCAAACCACAAAAGTGAGATTTGTGATGGATGCCGCGTTCCAGGTTGGAGGACGCAGTCTGAACTCAGAAATGCTGCCCGGACCAAAACTGCAAAATGACATCGTGGACCTGCTACTCAGGTTCAGACGAAGACCAGTTGCTCTGGTAGGAGACATCAAGGAGATGTTTAGCCAGATCTGGTTGAAGGAGAGTGACAGATGCTTCCACCGATTCCTGTGGAGGAACATGGAGTGTGAACGAGAGCCTGACGTATATGAGTCTACTAGGATCATATTCGGTGGACGTGCTTCTCGCTTTCTGGCTCAGAAGGTTCTGCTGCACCATGCCGAGAAAGAAAAAGAAGACTTTCCGCTGGCTGCCAACATCATCAAGGAAGAAACCTATGTGGACGACGTGATGACCTGTCTGGAGACAGAAGAGGAGGCCAGGCAGGCAAGAGAGGAGCTCACCCAGCTGCTATCGAAGGGAGGATTCTCGATACGAAGATGGTGCTCCAATCGCTCAGCTCCTCTTGATGGAGTCCCAGATGAGGACAAGGTCACCATCAATCCAGACAGCTCCGGGCTGCCAACGACAAAAATCCTGGGAATTCAGTGGAACGCAGAGGCTGATCAATTTGTGTACGACGTCATCACCCCGGAGAAGATTGTGTACACAAAGAGAGGGGTGCTGTCCAAGGTGTGCACCATCTTTGATCCCATTGGCTTCTTAGTCCCATTCACGATCAGAGCGAAGATTGGAATACAGCGCTGCTGGCAAGAAGGCATCGGATGGGACGAAGCAATGCCAGCTGATCTGCTAAAATCCTGGCGTGGCTGGTTCCAGGAAGTGGAGGAGCTGCACCAGATCAGCATCCCACGCTGCTTACGCCCGGATCGTCAAGACATATGTGATGTATCTCTGCATACATTTACTGATGCATCAGAAAAAGCATTTGGAGCAGTGACGTACATCAGGTACGTCTTCAGCGACGGAAGTGTGACAGTCACGTTCGTAGCTGCTAAGACAAGAGTAGCGCCACTGAGTGCTACCAGCATCCCTCGTCTGGAGCTCATGGGTGCGCAGGTGGGTGTACAGCTGAGCCAAAAGGTCGCCATCTCGCTTCAAATCCCAGTCGAGAACCACCACTTCTGGACTGACAGCATGAATGTCCTGGCATGGATAAAATCTGAGTCACGACAGTTCAAGCCATTCGTCGCCAACCGAATCGCCAGCATTCAGCAAGAAACCTGTCCAGGTCAGTGGCGTCACGTTCCAGGGGGCCAAAATCCTGCTGATGATGCTTCTCGTGGGCTGAGTGCGAATCAGCTCACCTCAGACTGCCGCTGGATTGCTGGACCGGAGTTCCTGCGAGGTGACCCAGCAAGCTGGCCTGAACGACGCCTGGTGGCGTCAACTCCAGAATCTGACAAAGAACGAAGGAAGGTGAAGCTTTCCTTCCCCGCTCAGCAGCAGCAGACTGTCCTGAATGAGACCAAGTTCTCTTCTCTGAAGCGCCTTCTGAGGATTACAGCTTGGGTTATCCGTTTCAGCAGCAACTGTCGAGCGGATCATGAGCACAAAAGGAGTGGAACGCTGACAGCCGAAGAGCTGCAAGTGGCAGAAAACTACTGGATAAAGGTAACCCAGCAGCGGACTTTTCAAAAGGAACTGACTGACCTACAGAGCCATGGAGTTGTTGACCGGTCCAGTAGCATCGCCAGCCTCACGCCGCAGATCTCTGAGACCGGTATGCTCAGAGTGACGGGTCGTCTGCACAATGCAGATGTAACAGATGATGTGAAACATCCACTCATCCTGCCTCAGAAGAGCCACTTCACTCGACTGGTGATACAAGACGCACATGAACGGCTCAAACATGCTGGTGTGAATCACGTGCTCGCAGAGACGAGGCAGCGATTCTGGATCGTGAACGGACGGCAAGCGGTGAAATCATGGGACTTCCGCTGCAGCTACTGCCGAAGAAGACGAGCTTCACCGGGAGAGCAGATCATGGCCCCACTCCCAGAATGTCGTCTGGGAAATGAAATGCGCGCCTTTGCCTGCTGTGGGGTCGATTTCACTGGTCCGTACTTCACTAAGGTGACGTCCAGAACTACAGCCAAGCGATACTTGTGTCTGTTCACGTGTATGGCAACACGTGCAGTTCACCTGGAGATGGCGGTTGATTTGACCGCCGACGCATTTCTTCTCGCCTTCTCTCGCATGGTAGCAAGGAGAGGAAAGCCAAAGATGATCACAAGTGACAATGGACGGAACTTCCTGGGAGCCAAAATGGAGCTTAGTCGGATCGAACAAGCGGCTCCTGAAATCTCACGCAAGCTGGGTCAAGAAGGCGTGAGCTGGAAGCTGAACCCTTCATCAGCTCCTCACCATGGGGGAGTGTTCGAATCCATGATCAAGTCAGCCAAGCGAGCGCTGAATGTCGTGCTAACCAGAGCATCAGTGACAGATGATGAACTGTGCACAGCCTTTGCGGAAGTGGAAGCTGTCTTAAACTCAAGACCGCTGACATACTGCGGCGCAGACGCAAGAGACGAGCCATGTCTGACACCAAACCACTTCCTGATAGGACAGATGGGTGACAGCCTGATGACGGCCGAGATGACTGCACAATCGGTAGGTGGGCTTCGCCGACGCTGGCGGCACATTCAGGAACTCGTCTCCAAGATATGGAAGCGCTTTCAGAGAGAGCTGCTGCCGACTCTGTCACAACGGCATAAGTGGCAAGAAGTGAAGAAAGACGTGGACGTGGGAGACGTCATGCTGCTCCTCGATCCCAACACACCGCGAGGACAATGGCCTCTCGTGGTCGTAGAGGCTGTTCACGCTGGGCAAGACGGCCATGTGCGGGTCGTAGACGTTCGACGAAACCGCTAAGTCCTCCGCCGACCGATCACCAAACTGTGCCCCTTGGACTGCAGCGGTAGTGGAGGACCCTAGATCCTCCACAGGGGGGAGAAATGGACAGACGCGGCGCAGTGGAGGTAGTTTTTGGTTATTCGAAGTGAGACCTGCACGAGAAAAATATTAAGTGAAAATTTCGGAAACAGTAAAAAGGAGAAAGGAGTTGGATTTTTTCGGTGATATTGAGAACGGAATGTAACTGCCTGATTGGTTTTAGCCCGCCTGCCAATACTATCTTTATTTTTTGCCATGTGTTTGATTTGAAAGACGCCGGACTGAACAGATAGACAAAGTAGAATTACGCATATCCTTTTTTGTTACGTCTTGATTCCTTTAAAAATGAAGATGTTAGCGGCGTTTGAACTTTTGCCGTTTTTGAGGCGAAAATGGCGAACATGACGTCACTAAAACGTCAATTTCTCAAAAAATTTCCGACGGATTTCGCTCAAATTTTCAGGGAGCGTGTCAAATTGATGTAAGAAAAGGTACTAAAAGTTTGGCGGCGCTGCGCGCCGCCGTTTTTGAGATATTGCAAAAATTCGCGAGGGGGGGGGGGTAAAATTTACCCCCCCAGCCCCGCGCGGGTTAACCCCTTGCAAGGGCTTGTGTAGGCATGCTCCATGAGCCTTAGAATCTATAGCCCATTGCAATGTGCTTTTGGCTATATGTTTTAACTAAAAACAACTTATCTATATTACTATTTGAGGAGGGTGCGTCTGTCCGTTACCGAGGTCCCGACTTCGTGGTGCTTTGCGTGGACTACAGGCCAGACCGTTGCACCTAGCCCGGTGGAATTTGCACAACTTATAGATCAGAGCTGGTAAAAAAGCAAATTGCGTCCCCGACCAAAAAATGAGAGCGAAAATTGACCCCGACCTTTTTACGATTCATGTACCTATGCAGGCTGCATGCAACTACGATGCGCGTTTCCTTAGGTTCCATTTCTATATTATTTTTTTACGAGCAGTCATATGTACTAAATTGCTTATCAGACTCGCGCTTCGAAATTTCCAGTTTGTTAATTAAATGTCACGGCATCACTCGGTCAGCGGGTAGCGTAACAGACGAAGAACCCGGAAAGGGTAGGGGGCGCTACGATCGTCGAACAGATGCAATAGGTGTCGCTATTGTATCGGTAGCTCACAACGATGACGGCTAGAAACTATCGACCCCGCATGAATTTACCATGTCCAACCGGTCTGACCCCGGTTTCGAATCTAGTCGTTTGTCTAGTCGTATAGCTGGCTACAACTGGTCGTCAATCAACCCCGCTTGAAATAGCACAGCCGACAGCGGGGTCGGTGTCTAAGCGTCTGTTAGTATGTGTTTGATCATCTAGTGTGATCTAGTTTTCGTTAGCAACTGTCGACGGTAGTTTTGCTGTTAACGGAAGTGAGTTGTGGCTACTAATTGTTCATAACCATGTTGAAGGTAATAGGTATGTATTAGGTATAGGGGCTTTTTATGTCCTTGTTAAAGGGGATATACGTTGTGGATTCAATGATATCTTTTACTTGCGTTTAGTTTCTGCTTTATTTGAAAGTTATTTATTACTGTAAAAGTTTACTCAATGTGGTAATTTTGACCCCGGGTACTTGAACTTTTACTGGTACTGTGTCCCCGACGACGTCAATAGGACATAACACTTTACCAGCCCTGTTATAGATCAAAGATGCGCGACGTGCCTTTGAGGGGTCTCAGCTCGATCGGGTCGTTAGTGAGCGCGTGGCGCGTGCTCAAAAAGTGCAAATTCCCGTCATATACTTTACATGTATAAATCGGCGTGCGAAATCGGGCGAAAACGGCTAATTTTGGCCGACACGGGTCCAGTCCCCGTGCAATATCTTGGTGACCAGGGATCCGACCGGCACGGGGAAAACAGCATCGTGTACAGAATTGAACGGGCTATTGAATGGTGTGCAATGCAGAGGATAGCACGCGCCACGTGCATCGGGGAGGGCACTTTTGTTGAAAAATTGAGGTTTTTGGCGGATTTTGGAATTGATTTTATTTTTAGGTGACCGTTAAACAGGGCGAGTTGGAACAACGCCTGTTGGCAAGAGAAATGTACCGCCTATCATATAAAAATTGTGAAAAGCTGATTGATCCAGATCAAGGTGGTACAAATCACGGGAGAAAATGGTGTTTCTCAATTTTGTGTCACTTTGTTCATCAAAATGGCTTTGCTCCATGATCTGATGTATCTGGCAATCAAAAATGGCACCGTTGGAAAGAGCATTCAATTCTGACCAAGGTTAAGTCTTCATTTTTGCATGATGAGCAACAGTATTCTTAAAAACGTAAATTTTCCAAACCATTGCATCGTCATTTTTAGCGAAATTCATCGATGTCCCTCAAAAGACTTCACGCCAGTTTTCGAATCCTTCTAAAGTAGAACGCATGATAATACGACACGGGCACCTCGATGCGATGTATCTTTTTGTTTCTTACAAAATGCTTGGCCGTCAAAAAGCAATCGAACGAAATGGATATCTACCAACCAAATCGACACAGACCAACCCAATACCCACGGGTCAAAAATAACCCTTCTTCGCGTTGCGGAGCACGCGGGTAAGCCTAGTTATATACTATTTGGTTGCATTTCATTGAACGATAGGCATTATCACAAGTGTATTCGCGGCCATTGGGGTGACGTAAGAAAAGAAGAAAACAACTGGCCCCAAGAACTTTAAATTATCAGTTAGCATGCACCTTTTCCTTGATATGTAGAGAATTTACCATTAATTGTTAGAGAAAATTGCATTTTAAATCTTCCATTTATGCTTTTTTCATCGTTTGCACAGTATGTTCTTTTACTAAGCTAGAAACACTAATTAGAAATAGTTCCCGCATCAAGAACAATAGGGAAGGCTTGAAGTGAATACAATAATCTAAACGGTTTTGTAATCCATGTGAAGACACTTCTAAAATTTGCCTGTAGAAATATTAAAGGCAAAAGTTCAACTTTTTCACAAGACGGATGGCTATAAACCTATATATCGTGTGACAACTCAGCCGGTATTTCGTCGCCTACAGCCCAGCTTTCCCTAGTGACCGATAGAGAGAGAGAGAGAGAGAGAGAGAGAGAGAGAGAGAGAGAGAGAGAGAGAGAGAGAGAGAGAGAGAGAGAGAGAGAGAGAGAGAGAGAGAGAGAGTGAGTGAGAGAGAGAGAGAGAGAGAGAGAGAGAGAGAGAGAGAGAGAGAGAGAGAGAGAGAGAGAGAGAGAGAGAGAGAGAGAGAGAGAGAGAGAGAGAGAGAGAGAGAGAGAGAGAGAGAGAGAGAGAGATCCGGATAGCGACAACTCAAGAAACTCAAGATTACTTTCAAACGATATTTATTTTTAAATTACTTTTAAAGTGATATCGTTATCGAAATAAATATCGTTTGAAAGTAATCTTGAGTTTCTTGAGTTGTCGCTATCCAACTGTCATGGACACTTTACATATACAAGAGAGAGAGATCCCTTTATTAGCAGACTCTAGGTCCATAAAGAATCATGAGAGGTCATAAGACCCTCAACTTAAATACAGACATTGCCGCCATGCCTTCCTTATCGATGAAAATTGTAATTTTCTAGCGTTTGACCCAACAATTTACATTTCGTTTGATCTGCCAGTGGACCCATATATTTAGTAACTGCCGACTTATGGGTAACACTTAAACACTCAACACTGTAAAAATATTATATATGAGAAAGAGAAATTATATGAGAAAGGAGAAGTGAATTGAATGGAAGCCGGTAAAACATATCAGATTGCTTTGGAAACGATTGCGGAGGGGTTGTTGTAACTGCATAACACCTAAGGCCTTTGTTTTACAATGTTTACAATCATTTCTGAGCTGCTCAAACCTCTGATGTTGAAACGAGAGCCCTGATGGGCCGATATTTTTAAATGGATCAATGACTTTGTCATTAAGGAGAGGTGGAATATGTTCATCTAACTTACTATTCAAACAGAATCCGTCTGTCTGTGTGTCCGCACATCGTGTAGTAGGTACAATTAACCCCGCCTACAGGGCAGACGGTACGGCGTAGGGGGTTGAAATTTGCACACCTTATAGGTGACAGAACGGGTCAGCGCCTTCTCTAGGTTTCCAGTCGCTGGGGTGCACGGTTCGCGCGTGGGGCGCGCAGGAAGAACGCCAATGAAATTTTGATCGGTTCGTACATCTTCATTGAGAGCCGGGGTCGACAAACTTTGTGAACTAAATGCATGCCGATCGGTGGCGGGTGCCTTGCATTGGCGGATGGTGAAATTGATTTTGATAAATGGTGGCGAAAGAATGTGGTGATTTTCATTCAATGGGAACAGTTGATGATACAAGTATAAAAATGCACCGCGTCTGCCGCAATGCGCCACAATTATCTCAGGGCGTCATTTTGCCGCAACTCGCACAGTTTTGTCAAATATGGTCCGATAAGGGAACAGTTTGGTGCCCGGATGCATGCTTAAACAACAGGTACAGATGCGCCACATTTGTCGCAATGCGCCACATTTGTCGCAATGCGCCACATTTGTCGCAATGCGCCGTTTCCGACAAATCCGATTAAGCGTAACGGAATGGCACGAATAGGATCAGGGCTAGAAGAACTTTTAAAAGCTTGATTTTTGTCTTAGTACTTATTGGGTCCAATTATTCCGTGACCTGACATGACCCAGTGATAGGTAGTGGTAGTTGTACGGGTAGTGGTAGTGGTAGTGGTAGAAGGTAGTGGTAGGGGTAGGTGTAGTGGTAGTGGTAGGGGTAGTGGCAGTGGTAGGGGTAGGGGTAGGGGTAGTAGTAGGGGTAGGGGTAGTAGTAGGGGTAGGGCAGTAGAAGGGGTAGTAGTAGGGGTAGTGGTAGGAGTAGGGGTAGTGGTAGGGGTAGGGGTAGTAGTAGGGGTAGTAGTAGGGGTAGTGGTAGGGGTAGGATTATCGGTATTAGTAGTGGTAGGGTAGGGTTATTGGTAGT